AAGACACCGGCTTAACCTTGCCTCCAACAATCAGATACCTAGAAACATCATATTTAAGTATACATAAATAAAGAGAGCAAGCATAGACACAAGTGTGTATGTGTACTAATTACAGTTAAATGTGGTGTTTTCAGCTGCATTGCACTGTGAAGAAATACATTTTTTGTGGAGTAATTTTGGTAGGACATGAGCTTTGTTTAGTTTAGCCATGCAGCTCAGCCCATTTCAGACTTTTAAAAGCAAGCCAATTAAAATACTAGAAGCTCACTGAATATTGATTGCTTTAGACACTCCAATTTAATGGAGCTTTGTTTCATGCAAGCGTAGGAATTTGAAGAGCACAAGGTTATTAAAAGCCATAGAAAGGGTAATAATTCAGCAGTAGCACTGAAGAAACTATTTGCAGTTCCTGCCAAGGAGACAAGGTTTCAACAAAAGGACAAACGGAGAGGAATCCAGATGGAACTATCCGGCAACTAAGAGTAACAATCCTATAGAGTTTTGGGGCAGTTAGGTACATGCTTCCATGGTAATGGTATGTCCTCCCTCACACTTTATGAACTAATAAATTCTCCAAAAACATCTCATGAGGCAGATATAACAAGTTTTCTTCTCCAGATGAAAAAAGTAAGGTCAGCAGGTGTGAACAGAAGGAGCTCTTTCTAGAACTGGAATGAGAAAGTTGGAATTCTGGAATTATGCTATAGACTTGCTACATTTTGTGGTATTCAGTTTAGAGATCTTGGTGGAAGGGAGGGGAGAAGAATCAGTTTTTCATTACACATTACGTATGTATGCATGCAGTCTCTGCCATAATGGGTCCCCAACCTGCTCTAAGAGCTACCTCAATGCACATAGTAAAACTCTTCATGCCTAGAGGACTGAAGCAGAAATCCTTTGTGCTGACTCTTTGCCTAGAGGGCACTCTGTGCCCCATAAGAAGAATGCCATGCTTCCAGATGCATGCTCTATTACATTCTTCTAGTCCTGAAAGAAAAACACTTAAAATTCAGTATATATAATATCCATGTTAATGTGAGACAGGAGACTGGCAACATGCCACTAGCAGAGCCAAGAAAGGGAAAAAACAGATGAGAAGTAGTGCAGTCTCACAAACTGAAGCAGACAGACCTATTGTAAGTTGTCTCCATTCTTGGGCCAGGATAGTCCAGGCTGATTTATGAGCACAGCATTTACAACTAACACACATGAAATACATTATGGGTAGATATAAATCTCCTAATGTGCACAGAGAACAGTTAAGATAGAAGAATGCTTTTGGTAAACTAGGTGAATGTTTGCCATTAAAAGCGTGATACTAAAGCCAGAGCATGTCTTTGGGGCTAAGGAGACTTTATTTGCACTACTGTTGATCAGTACTATGGAGGACATGAGATATTAGGCAAAGACTTTCCAGAAAAATATTCCTCCTTTATTTTTTATTTCTTTTAATTTCTCTAATGAATTCAAAACCGATGACTCTGCGTCGAAAGCCCCTGGGAACCAAATGCTGCTTGAAAGGAAGGTCAGTCTTATGCCTATATGAAGGCCCAACAAACAACAGTCCAGAGTTCAGTTCCCAAGTCTTCCATTGTTTCAGGCAACGTCCTTAATTTTTGTATACCTGTTTTCCATCTCGTAAATAGGGATAACTACGAAATAAACTAAGAAAGGACTACTATGAAGCCAGAAGGGATCATTGTAATCACCTAATCTGACTTCCTGCATCACACTGTATAACTTCCTGAAATAATTCCTAAATTAAATCATTACTGAATAGGTAAACTCTTCAGGAAAAATGCCATCCCTTACATCATGACTAGTGAATGGGGATGTCAATTCTAGTTTTGCTATAGTTAAAAAAAAAATTTCAATATCTTTGTACAGGAGACTTTATCAAGCAGGCTCCTCTAAATCTTAGTTGGTTTTAGAGGGAAAGTGAGGCAGTTCTGTCACTTAAAGGCATCTATAGTTGGCATTTCTGCCTGCAAAGCTGCACTGGTCATAGCTCATATCTCATCATGTCCAGCCAATCCAATTAGGTCAAGACAGTTTCTTATAGGGACCTGGATTCAGCTATTTGTTTGATCCTAAGACTAACAGCGCTGAATTTTTTGCGGCTCTTAGTGATGTTGACTCTTGTCCAGTGGAATCTGGATAGAGGCTGACCAACTCATTTTACGGAGGGTAGAGAACAGAAATAAGGAGCTGTGAAGCTGCTACATTCCCTCACAATCAACTTGTAAAGTTATCTTCTGATAAAATATCTGATTCCAGTATTTTAGGACACATTAATAAATAAACAGGCTAATAACAGTGGTACAAAACAGTTATTATTCTGCTAACTAAACAGACTTCCTGTCCTAAACCAGCATTAGGGTATTCTGTTTCAGCTACTACACATCCTCTTGCAGAGTACTTTCCACTGACTAGAAGAGAGCTATCAGATTTATACCAGATCAGCAGAGATGAATTGAATGAATGGTAAAGTGAATTTTGAAAGAGAAGAGGTCAGCTGGGGAAAATACTCCAAAACCAGCATCATTTTAAAGTCACTCATGAAAGGAACAGTAGCATGAGGCTGTAGTTTGATAGTGGTTCTGTTTGTATGTGGCATGAAATAATCTAAACAATTTTGATTTATAGATGCTGGAAACTGCAAGATGGCAGCAGAGGAATGCAGACACCTACTTCAAGATCTCTAACTACGTGTTGCAGTCCTGTCATAACAAGATATTTTCTAAGCCTAACGACCTTTCACATTGACAGTGTCACATAATAGTTTCAGTTTAGTGGGTATAAGCCAATCTAAACAAACCATACTCAGGTCAGCCTGTGTCTGATAAAATTAGGTAAATGACATTTGGCAAACTATAGGTCTACTGTATTTTAGTGTGTCTTTTATCAAGTTAAGCACTAATGAAGAACAGGAGTAGAATGAATGTCAAAAAGGAAAATATTTAGGAAGGGAAGGGGGGACTTCCTGCATATTTTCAAGATACTTCTGTAATGTACAGTAATTATTACAATAATAGATCCCAACCAAAACACTCAGTTCTCAGTGAAAAAAAAAAAAACAGTTTTCTCAATGGCTTTGATTGTGCCTTCAGATTTGCTAGATTTTCATTTTAAAATACTAGCTAGTCCCTTAAAAATTGCAAAACTAACTGAACCTCTTATCCAAACTTCTTGGCACAAAATTTTTGAATGACATGGTATTTTAAGTTGATTTTATACACCATTCTAGTTACGGATACCACCCCACCACATTAAGTGGTTGGTATTGGTAATTTTGTCACTCTGCTTTGCAGTTTCATGCCAGCGAAAAAGGCATGCGACTTCCTGCAATTACGATAGCTATTATTTATGGGATTTTTTTGGTTAAACCTCTTAGTACGTTGATTTAAAGTGAAGGAACAATACACAGCAAATAGGAGTAAATCAAACTGCTATAGGCGATAATGCTGTGAAACACATTAAAAAAAGAAAAGGAAAAAAGAAAGATATAAATTAAAAAGCTCAAATAATTTCTGAGCCTAAATTCACAGCCAAAATCTTTAAATGTGAGGATATTACACATCTCCCTCAGGAGAATTCTAGGCCACAGAACCAAAAGCTTCACGCCATCGAACCTAATCTTTGAGATCTGAAACATTCTCTCCAACAGTTTTCAGTCGTATTCCAAAATTGTATAGGCAGATGAAGGACAGATTGTTTCCACTTCTCTTACACTAACCCCAGGACCTATAAACATCAGGACTTGATTTAACCAAGCACATGCTGGACCAGAAAAATGGTGACCTAGTGATACTAGGACTTAATTGGGATACAGAAGACTTTGTTTCATTCATAGTTCTCCAATACAGTCTTTGGATCACCTCAGGACCCTGAGCAGATTGTGCCCAGATTAAATAGACAGCCAAAAAGCATCCCATCACTCACCAAAATAACAGCAAAGTCAGTAGAGTCACTGTCACTTGAAATGCTTACTCACTGGGGAAAAACGCACACATACCAGATAAACAATAACTTTACCATTTCAAACAGACAACCTCTCCAAGAAGCTAATGCCCTGGGGGCTTCTCCCTGTGAGGCAACACATCTTTGTAGAGCTACTACTAACCAAAAGGCCTCTAGAGCATCTTTCTCAGTTAGCAGAAGCCCTATCCGCAGTGTCTTTTCTTCCTACAAATTTACTCAGTCTGGACCACATAAAGGCTGGACCAAGCTAAATCTGCCATCCCCCAATCAGGCCTTCTAAGACTATAGCAAACCATGAGTAGGTAGTGACATGAAGGGTTCTTAAATATTTGTTTCTAAATCTCCAAAGGAGGATCAGGCAGGGAGATTATAATCCTAACCAGCCTCAGACCTGCCCCTTATCCTCAATGAAGGAGAGGGATTTTAGCATCTGGAAACACTAGCAGATGAACCTCTTTGTCCAAGCTAGCACATCATAGATTACGGTTGCTAGCTCCCTTGTTTCTTGGCTGCATAGAAAAAAATAAAGTTTTATTTTTGAGAAACAAATGAGTGGATATAGCTGTTTATGTTTTATTTCTAGTGACGCTTTATCCTTCTTTTATGCTAGTACCAATTCTCAATAATTGGGTCTGATCTGAGGAAGAAGCATGCACTTTGGCTGTCTCCTGAAAATTCCTCCCTTAATCTCCCTCTGCCTCAGTTCCCCAGACATAAAATTAGGGATATGAGAGACTTTTTCATATAGCTGTTTCAAATGCTTTCATCATAAATTCTTTGCGTTCTATGTGATGTTTACACACACAGTTTCTGTTCAAATGAGGCAAGGATCTCAGAGCCTCCAACCACAACCTTAACACAAATTAAAGAGATTAAAAATAAAATAAATTCAGAGAACTATTTTATCTTTATATGAATGTAAGCAGTTTTAGCAGTGCTGTTGTTATTTCTGAGGGGAACTGTGTGGGCTTCTTGTTAATTTGGTTTAGGATGTCTAAATAAAGTCAAGTTACTCTTACCATCTCCAGTCGCTGATGATAATGATGACTGCATGCACCATTTTCTCTACATTTACTTTAATCCATCGGCCAAGAGCAAAGCAATCTTTCTTCTGCACACCTCCTACAAACAGAGCATGAGAAGACATGAGGATTTCATAACAACAACAACAAAAAAATCCACATCACTTGCAGCATCTTTTTGTGCAATAGTAACAGTCTCTTGGTACCATCATCAGCCATGGCATTTCATTCACACAGAACACTTGTGGGCACATCACATATGCTTTTTTCACTCAATGTATTTTTAAATGTTTCCCAGGCAACTATTTCAATACAATATGCCTCCTTGGCAACCTGGTGCCCACAAATGCCATGCCAGTTTCCCCAGTCCTCTTTTTAGGTCTTCCCATCTTGTCATATAAATGTCAGCAGACTTGATTTTGTATAGACAGCCTCGTGGGTACTGATCTGGTCTTGCACTTGAAAAGGGAAGGCTGAATTGAAAATGTGAGTTGTGCACTGGGCTTTGCACATTAACAAATTTAGGCTCTGGTAAGCTACCAGGGAAAGCAGTTTTCAAAGCCTATGATTTTTCATTTAAAAGACTGTCACCTACCAATAAAATTAGGGAGAGCCAACAAAAGCACCTCCACTCAACTGACTTTCTCTGGAAAGAGAAGTAAGTTTGCATTTCTCCAACTGAAATTGCATGTCATCTTTATTCTCCTGAGTATACTAAAGGAAGTCTTACACAGCTTTCATAATTTTGTAGCTTGAAGTGTAATACACGATGTTAATAAAAAGAATCAGACTTTTCCACTCCACAACAGATATCGATCAGTGCTATACTGAATAGGCCACTGTGATTGAGTTACTCTTTCCAATGCTACATTTGCTGCCACAAGACTGTAGATGAGACACAGTGGCAAGTCCATTTGCTGCAGAAGCTTTCACTAATGCTCTACTATACATACTTTAGACTCCAGTTGTATCTTTTAGAGCATTTTCCCATATTTAATAAAGTGGACCCCCTGATCCTTGACTGAAGTTACAGAACATTTGACAAGGACACCAAATTACCAACATATTATCTTAAAACAAGCATATGCTAGATAAAACAATTAAAATACAATAATATTTTAATTTTCTAGCAAGGCACAATTTATTCTAAACATTTCTATCTGATATAGGAGCTATCACTACCGACTGCAGAATCAGAGTTACTTTAGAAGGACCAAAACTATCTGATAGCATCAATCCCCATAAAAAGTTTTAACAAAAACTGTATATGCTCTAGCATCAAAATGGTACATTAAAAAAAGCATAGCTCATGCAGGCAATTATATCTGACCCAGAGGAAAATCTAGCACAACCTATGGTATCTTTTCTTCATTGATTTTTTCATAAGAACAGCTGAAAAGTGACAATTTTTCCAGGCTGTAAAATATCCAGCACTCCAAATCCTATACTGACAGCAAAATTCTCCTCTATCTCCGTGAGTTGTTGTATCTTAAATAGAGATTCCGCCATTACTTCAGGCTTTCTAATTCTTCCTAAATGCAGAAGCTCTCATTCAATACTGCAGCTGTTGGGTAGGAAATCAGAAATAGCAGAAGGCGGATTAGTTGATAATGTACCAGTTCTTCCCTAGCAAATGCTGGCACCTGCGTTTCACACCCTCCTCTTTCCTTCAGCCCAGGAAAAGATCACTTGGTTTGTGTGGCAGACAATTCATAGGCTTTTGTGATTATGGTATTGTAAAGCTTTAGAATTTGCTATAGTAGCCCCTTCTTCATAAGAGCAAAAGTTAAAACTGAGGCCTAATTTGCAGAAGGAATTAGGGACTATGTAAGTAAAGATTAAGCATGTGCTGCTTGATGAGACTCTTCAGGGAGGAGATAACTATCCATGCTGACACTCCATTTACAAGGAAACCCCTAAAGATAACCTGTGGAACCATTCTAGCTTCCAAAAGCTCAAATCACTTGGCCGCTGGCTCAAATCCAATTGAGAATGATGATGATAATGTCTTTGTATTTCTGCAAGAACTTTTTTCTAAGATCTCAAAACATTATAATTATTAAGTAAGAACCAGAGTCAAGTGAAAAGTAATAGGATTTCCCTTTTAGTGGAAGAAATGGTAGAAATGATCTTGTCCAACATGGCAGAACCAAGAATACAATCTATTCTACAGACCACCTTCTTGCTGCCATTAGTACATTATTAATTCTGGAAAGATGCAGACTGAAAATACTGAGTACCAGTAAAGATTTCTAGAATGCTTGTTTCAATTCTACTTGTACTTATAGAAACGGGCAGAACAAAAACCCAAACACTCACTGACATGCCTGCCTGCATAGGTTATAATGGGTATGCATTAAACAAATAACAGTAAAAAACAAAAAAAAAAACTTATAACACCAAGATTTGAATTAAATCAAGAACAAAATAAATTTTGTAAATTTTGTAAATAGATTTCAGTTACATAAGGACAAAAAGACCTACAGCTATAGTTGAGATAGAAGCAAGGCGTTTTTCTTTCACTTTTACAATTAGCAGCTGCAGTAATAACTATCCTTATTCTTTTTATTATAGTCTTCATATTCTTCATTTTTGGCCCTTACTGCACAATAATCGATTTTTCTCTTTTTTAATGCTCACCCATAATAACATTTTCGCAAATATTATAATGCATGACTCACACCACTAACAGTACCACACAACACCTTCAGCACGAAAAACAGACAACATGTGACTGCTGTTCCTGGAGAAGTCATTACTAACAAAATATATATTAGTTAAAGTATGATTTAGGCACAGAGGATTGTCAAAGCAGTAGCTAGGGAGTCTTAAAGCATTATAAAACATTAACACACATATCACAGGAACAAAAAAAAGGTGGAATAGAGTAATCATTAACATAGGTATACCCAGAAATATGTACAGACGCCTGCAGAAATCAGCTCAGTCAAAAAGCTCTTCCTTCCACTCACATTTTTTAAGGAGAGATTTTTATATTGTTTGCTGCCGCCAAGTGGTGGTTATCAATGGTGTTACTTCTAATCTACAGCACAGTCATGAAGGCAAAGATTAGCAGCAAGCAAAAGAACACAAGTCAAAATACTTTTTCTTTCTCTTTTTCAACTGGCAATAATAGTTGTGAAATCAAATCTCGACTCCTCCTCTGTTATCTAATTTTCAAGCAGCTGCACGGCTAATTCCTCCTTTCAGTCTACACTTCTGCTTTATTTATATTTATTTCCTCTTGCTATTAGTTGCTCTATGCCTGCTGCCATCACCACCTTTCTTCTCACAGCAGGCCTAAAATCTTCACTTTCAAATCCAGCCCTTGTCTCTGTTCAGCTCACCTGGTTCTGCTTGGAATGTTTTGGAGAATGCCTCTCCTGCATGCAGAGGGAAAGGAGGACCCATTTCCTGGAATTTCATTTAATCTCTGTGAAGAGGCTTCTAAATGGCAACAAAAACAATAAAACAAAGACATCACATTTTTTGTAACTGAGTAGTGACTCTTGGGTACTGTGCTAGCTGTAATAAACATCAATATGGGAAAATGTTAGGCTACATGATAGTGATTAGCTTTTTTATCATCATTTCTTTCTTCCTGAATTTCATTCTCTTTTAGTCTGCCTATCATACAAGAAATGCTAGCACTCTAGGACGATGATTCTTACCTTTTTTTTTTTCCAGCTGGGCTATCTGTTGTGGAAACTTGCACAGTTCTCAGTAGTAACCAAACACTTCACACCTTTCAATGTTTTTATCCTCACTGTTACACAAAATGAAAACCATTAACCCCCTTTTAACAGATCAGTTATTATAGTAAGAGGCATTACCTTTCTCTGCAGCTATGGCCTCACAGAAACACTAAATACCTAAGTTAACACAGGACAGCTATAAGCTGGTCCAAGCCTCACAGATCTCTAGCTACACTCTAACTGAACCATCTTCCTCTCTTCAGTCTATAATACGGCTGGAGATGGCTGTGTGGCTATACCTGTCACTTCCAGGTTAATCTACCAATTTGTTTCTACTGATATCTATTAACTCTGATATCTGAATAACATTTTCCTGGTTCATATCTGTCCGAGATATGTAGAAACTGACGACAACTGTTATTTAATACATTTTGGTGGTCTGTGTGCCCAGCTAAGTAATTCACAAACAACTTTTAACACTATGCTGCAGTCAATGCTGACACCTCACTGGTAGCCTGAAGGGGGAGTCCAAAGACAAAACAGTCCGTCCATAAGACGTTCAGCACTCCAGAAACGCAGTTATAGGAAAGGAGCTCGGATTCATCTGAACTTGAATTCATCTTTCGGCAATAGTAAATTAGCTTTAAGAAAAAGTGCCTTGTACCTGCTCCCTCTCTGCAGCTCATAAACACCTGCTATCAGACAAACAGGATTTTTATTTCCCTGTACAGTTATTCTCATACTGATGGTGATGAATTCAAACAGCAGGTACTTTCTGATCCTTTTATATAACTGTTGGGGCATTATCAATGGTCTATCATCATTTTCCTAATATGTCTTTTTTTGAAAAGGCTGCAGCCTGATCAGTGTGTCTGCCCATGTAAAAAACTACCAGTTATTGCTCAACTCTAGGTCATGTTTTATTTCAAGTCATACAGTGAGGTTCCTGCCGGAAAAGACAATCACTTCAACAGTTTTCTTTCCTGAAAGAGGAACTAGATCAGAGATGCATTCCCACTCCCCTTTATTATTTGAAATAACAACCTTGCCTTCAGACATATAGTACAGTAAACAGATCTTTGGTATCAGCACAAAAATCAACTGAGTGATGACAAACACAGCTAAGGCCATAGCCATTTTGCCCAGTTCAACCAAAGCCTGATTTCACATATTTGCTTACAGTCCCAAACATTGTGCTTTCAAGGAAGTACAGGACAACGCCTTGGCCAACTCATTGATCCTACCTAAAGAATACCCAGTAAAACACAGCGGCCATACATAAAATACTGCATTTCCATAACGATTACTCCACATCCAAGCCCCACATATACTAAAATCCAGCACATACAAACGGTTTAGAGTAGAATTAATACTATAAAGATGACTTTTGAGCTGGACAAGTACTTAGTAGCGGAACTTCAGGTTATCTGTGGTATTTCAGGCACCGCCGGTGCGGAGCGGACCGCGGCAGAGGCGCTAAAGAAGGAGCAATTTTTCTTGA